AGATCGTGGGTTCGAATCCCGCTCGTGCCATTGACTTTTTTATCTCAACTGAAAACCTTAATTAATTGTAAGGTATTAATTGTTCAAGCGGACCACGCAACTAGTGAATTGAATAAGTTTAAAATGAAGTATACCTTCACTAAAGCTCTCCGTGGCCATTTCATTTGTCGCCGAGAATCAAATAGATTACACGTCATTTGAAAAATGGCAAAAAGGTGGGAAAATTCAAAAGGTGTAGTTGAGATGGGAAGGTAGTATCCGAGTGGATCGAGGTCACGTTAGCTTAAGTGGTAGAGCAGCGGCGTATCTAACCAAAGATCGTGGGTTCGAATCCCGCTCGTGCCATTGACTTTTGTATATCAACTAAAACCCCTAATTAATTGTAAGATATTAATTGTCAAGCGGACCACGAAACTTGTGAATTTAATAAGTTGATAATTTAGTATGTAATGGTCAGTCATTTTTCTTAATTCTTGCCTGCTGAGAACCAGGAAGATTTTGTTTTCCTGGCTGAGATGTTGATAGTGTTTGACACACAAATATTCTGTTTTATACCATTATTTTAAAAAAAAGAAGAAAAAATTATATAAATACACTCACCTCAATGTTACGACGAGTTTTTCTTCTGCCGAGATGGATTCCCTCATACATCGAAATGATGATGAAATATCGCATTTTATCAAGTCCGACAAATTGTCAAAAGAATTAACTGACATTCTAAAATAATTGAGAAATTTTGGCTCATATTCACGCAATTTTGGAGGGTTGCGAATATACTGTGTGTGAATTTATTTCTCCAAATAGGATGAATCCAATACTGCCTTTGACTTCTTAATTTATAGAGAGACGGTAGAGATACCATAAACAAACTACTTCTTCGACTTCCATTATGAGACTGAACCAAAAACGTGAGTTCAAGCGTTATAATGTGTACGCTGCAAGCGCCTATTAACGCGCGAAGAGAAGCTAGGACAAGCTCGTACAGACCTCAGAAATTTACAAATCTGATGGTGGCTAACAATTTCGGTCGTACAGCAGTACGCAATTATAGTCCCGCAGACATCCTAAAGAGTTTTAAAAGGCACGAAGGGAAAGAAGATATCAGGGTAAAATCAAATACAATTATATGGCATACAGATGTGTCCAAGGATTAGTGGCATTCTGCCTTCTTCAGTCCGTCTGCAGACCAGCATGTTTAGAAATTACCATCTTCCCACCGGCACTAACAAAAAAATCACACTAAATAGTAATCATCCCTTCTTTAGTACATAACCTGAAGGCTTACTGACTAATGATATTAGACGATTGTAGAAAACTGATATTAAAAGATAAGATATATTTTATATCTTGTCAAAGGTACGAACGAAACTAAAGCATCAAAAGTTACAGAGAAAGTACAAATAAACATAATTAATAAATGACATAATGAAATAGTAAATGTAATATCCATGTTATTTTTGTGTAATCAAGTATTTACAGTATAATACATATAGGAAAGTTAAAATTTATATGTTGACTAGTTGTCATCTAGTGATATGAAGCTGGTAAATTACCTGGCAGTGTCACTCCACGAATTACCTTGATTACTTAAGCACTTCGGATGGTTGAAACGTTTTTCCTTAAGAAAATGGACAGTGACTCGGAGGTTGTAGCGTGAAATGGCACTAGTTCTTGTTGCGGGCTGTCAATTTCAACCATTTTTACACAAAAATAAACCTTGTCGTGATGATCAAAGTAATAAGAATGGACTTATAACAAACAAAACCCAAAGGAGTTAAAATTAAAATGAGTTACTCTGTAAATTAACATAGAAAAACAATAATTACTGACTAAATTTAAACTGTGGTTAAATAGTCTCTGTTTGGAGTAAGAGGAGGTGCGGGTAAAGATGTTAAAAGAGGTAAGGGAAGCGGCATTGCGGATAGCTAGGGGGATGGAGTTTCAGAATTTTGGTGCTCGGACAAGGAAAGTCGGTTTAAAGGTGCATGTTTTATGCCGGGGCGGATTAGGCCACAAAGAGATGAGCGGGTATTGCAGGATTGAGAGGACATGAATCGATGGACTGGAGAATGTAATAAGGACGATGGGTTTTATGGCCTCGTAAAAGAAGGAACCAAAGAAATACAGACTTCGGGAAGAAGGATAGAGCCCAGGATTGTCACCTGATACATTTCATTAATCTTTTTAGGCGTTTATTTTGCTCACCCGAAGGTCCACCGTAAGTAATACAGCTGTAGTCGAAACAGGGGAAGATTAGGGAGGAGTCGAGGAGTTAACGTGTGGAAATCAGTAGGTGGAGCCAGGACCGGCGGAATTGGATGAGGGAGGCAATGCAACTGCGGGAAATTTGGGAAATGTCAAGGTACCAGAGGTTTTGGTCAAGGATAACTCCAACGTTTTTTTCCAACGGAGGGTCGGAAGAAAATAAGCGAGTTATTGACGTTAAGAGAGGGTATATGGATAAATAAAGTAAATAATATCAAGGGTATGATAATCGTAAAATGTTACAAAATGTTTAAGTATCAAAATGACATCAATAACCATTAGGAAAAATAAAAATAAAAAGTGACAATATAACCATCATAACATCTTAAAATTGACAAAACAACATGCAGATTTATATTACAAGATTCAGGCCAAATGACACAAAGAAATTTTATTGAACAGACATAGGTATAAAATTGATACGAGTTTGTGTCCCTTTGTTCAAATTTAAATTTTTTTACTTACTCTAAATTTTTGTTTATTTTTTAGTGCAACCCAAAAAATTATAGAACTTGTTGTGATGCAAGTTATTTGTAAGTATGTTATTGTAAGTTGTACATACGTTTGTAAGTTATTTTGCCAATGCAGAAGGATATTTGATTTTTTTGTTAACTGTTAACAAGCAGCAAGGAAGCAATTATGCTCCTACATCGATTACTACCTGCTGCGATATGATTTATGCTTAGCGTGTATAATTTACTACAATTCGACATATTAATTAGGAAATTAGAACATTCAAAATCTTGGCGAATAGATCCTTGACAATATCTTCGTGTAAATAGTGAAAAATAGAACGTCTTAACTGGTAGGGTCTAATCAAAATTAGCTTCTTTTATAATATTACAACAATAAAGTGATAAATAATAATTTAACTGAATGAATCATTATGTTATTTAATATTAATAGAATGGATTAAGTAGTATACAAACTTTACTTAAAAAATATGTTTAAATCAAGAAATTTTTAAAAACCACTTCGGCGCAACGGTTTAGGGGTTAACTCGGCGCTCATCACTGTAAGGGAAAGGTCTCGGGTTCGAATCCAGCGGCCCTGCATTCTAACCCGACATTTTTCAAAAACACCGGCGCCCCGAGGGTTCATATAACCTCTGCTGTTGCGAACCCTCGTAAAAAAAAGAAAAAAGACCACTTCAAAATTTTATTTAAAATTTGAACAGATTTGAATTTAAAATAGTTCATGGAGAATCATGATTGTGGTGAAATAACAATACATATGGTTTTATTATACAATTTATTAACTTACAAAAAACATTCATTCACTTGCATATACACATAACAACAGAAAATATAAATATCCTATCATACAACACTAGCACATCAAGTTCAGCATGCCTAAACGAAGCATTTTAATGACAGCCTAACTTTAAATTATATTCAGTCATAGATCTGTTGCAACCACGTGGTTTTTTTATATTTCTTGTGCAAATATGAATACATCTTTTGTCAACTTGAAAACAACAAAAACAAATAACATTGAAACCAACGTAGCGTAACAGCAAAGAAATAAACTAATGAGTACTGAGAATAATAAATAAGAAAGAGGATTGAAACTGTACGACAAGCATAAATAATTGATGCACTTCAGGCAAAATAAATAGATTGCACTCAACCATTACTAATAGATTTTTATAATACATTTGACCGACATTCGTTCGGTTTTAAAATAATATATATTTGAAAAATCTGGCGTTAGCCGGCATATATCGCCTTTCCCAACGTTTGCTTTGCTATAAAAAATATCTAATGATATTAAAATTTATAAAAAACAATATTTAATCAGCGGTTTTAGTAATAAATACATTGATCAACAAGTTTTGCCAAATCTTTGAATCTTAAATATGTTTTTTTTTCTTTTTTGAAATAATTTAAATTCAATGCTTTTTGAACTATTTTTCTCAATAAATATTTCGAGATCCTTTTCTAAATTTGTCCTAAACTTCATTACAGGATAAATATAATTGTTGACAGTCGTCACCGCTTCTTCCCCTGCGTCCTGCTTCGTAATAAGAATCGAACCTTGTCGCTCCTGACCTCTGCATCATTAAACTGGCGACGTATCTACAAGAAGGGAAACAGGGACAATTAGTCGAGAGGGATTTTTCAAAAAGGACATACGGTGAAATTGATCCTTACGTTCCAAGTTGGCAGTAGATGGAGCTGGAACCGTTCGTGCTGTCAGAGCAATCCCTGTTCGCTTCGCACATGTACTTGAGCATGCAGCTTTCATCATCGGTTTTCATTGTCTTTACGTAACCCTAAAAGCAAAGTATAAGAATTAACACTAATATCTAATATAAGATAATAAAACTAAGCTGAAATGGAATCCCTTTTTTTTCCTCACGTTTTCACACTATTCGATCAAATACCTACAACGTTTTTCATTCCTCAAATAAAAATAAGAATTGTTCTTTTTGACACATCAACATCTTATATATGACGGGGAGAGAAGAAAAGCTTTAAACAAGTAGTTAAGTGTTTCAGACTTTCGTTTTAGCGGTCCTGGGCTCAAATCTTGGCCTAGGTCAAGGAATTTTAATTTGAGAATAATTTGTAAAAAGTATTATAAAATGGCTTGACCTTCCTAGGCGACACCACACGGATAGTGGTGTATAACACTAATTACTTTACATAGAGAGGGAGATAGAAAAAATATTTATTTACTATTAATTTTGACCGTTATTTACATGTTCATGTTCAAGTTAAATAATAATCTTTCTCTCTCTCTCTCTCTCTCTCTCTCTCTCTCTCGCTCTCTCTCTCTCTCTCTCTCTCATCAAAGCGTAAAATTTAGACTTATCGATCCAAATTGGAGGTTTTTCGATTCTCTTCTACTTTCACGAAAAATATTGTTGATCAATAAATTTCAGGAAAGTACAGGATAAACCTACGCGGCCCGAGAAAAAAATACAAGTGGTTTTCAGCTTAATAATTTTGGCTTTAGGTGTGTTAGATTATCTTTCGACCAAACTGAATACACACCGTGATTAAAGAAGTGTGTCAATGTTTTTAAGGCTTTAGTATCATCATTAATTTTTAAAAATACGCGTTTTCGCTTTTTCTTGCTTGCCTCAGTACTCAAATGTCTGGTTTCTGGTCTCCTTCTAGGTCAGAAAATAAAGTGAGACTGTGAAAACAATTACTCAGTAAACCCATTTTTCAATAAGTCTCAATTATATATTTTTTTTCAAAGGAATCCGAGACAGGATCTCTCAGAAAAATATCTGTGACTGCAGTGTGTTGCGGGTTAAGGCCAAAATCAAAAGTTTATGGAAATCGTGTTTTATTAATTTTGCCCCAAAAAATCGAGTGGCGTATACAATATCCCACGAAGATACTTTTCCGATTTCCCAAACGTCAGAGCACCAATGTTTTTAACACAATTTTTACAATTTTTGACTTCGTTTAGACCACTTTTCACTGCAACCACAGATAGTCTACTATTTATTAAATTATTAAATCTCTAGATAAACCCACTCAGCTCATTTATAAATTAAATTTGAAATTTTAAATCATTTCAATAAGTTAAATAAGCTTCTTCTAGTTACATTCTCTTCTTACATCCTTTTTCCTTAAAACCTGTTACTCCACCTGAATTAGAACCACTGTTCAACAACCTAAAAAAATAGCAACTCCTTTTTTAAAAATAATTTTGTGATAAAAATCTCTAAATTTATCATCAGTACCAGTATCACCTAGTACGTATTTTCCCCTCCATTAAAAAAAAATTCAAAAGAATTGGATAGAGGTTATCATGTTATGGGATCTTTCTAGATTTAAAAAAGGCTTTTAGACTCGAAAAAAAATTAGTAGGAATTGTTGAGGTTCCACATAACTTTATTGAGTCTTATTTAGTGGGTAGAACTCAGACGACAAAAGTTGGAACAGTCTATAGTAATTGCCTATCGTCTCTGGCGTCCCTCAAGGTTCGGTTTTAGTTCCCCTGTTTTTCCTTTGATATATTAATGATCTTTTAAAAACATCCGGTAAAGTTTTTAGTTACGCTGATGATACGTGTTTGATTTTTTCTGAAGGATAATTGATAATTTGTTTATATCTATTAACAATGATCTTAGACTTGTTAAAACATGGTTATTTTCTAACTGTAATTAAATTTTAAACAATGATAAATCCAAGATTTTACATTTTTCATTAAGTAAAAGATTAGTTTTAAAGAGCTTTAAATTTTGTCTCTATTTTATCTCATTTATCTCTCATCTCATATCTCATTTAACTGTAACTCCACAGTTTCAGTTAAATTAATACATTCAACTGTAACTGTTCCCCCATACCAATTACAAATAATAATAAATACTTGGGCGTTATATTATCCTCTAGGTTAAATTTTAAGTTTCACATTGGTTCTTTAGTTCTGCGACTGAGAAAACTCCTTTATTTATTCATTGTATTAAGAAAAATCCTAAATTTGTTAAAATCAGCTTATTATGTATTAGTTCAGTCTGTAATACGGTATGGTATTGTTTCATGAGGTGGACCAATAATTTTTATTTAAATCCATTAATTTCTCTTTTCAGAATCATCCTTTCTACACCTTTTAGATTCAACACAAATAAACTATACGATATTTTTCAGGTTCTAAAATTTAAACAATTATTTTTAACATGTTCTTGTTTGGAAGTCTTTAAAAATAACATTTTTGCTGAATCCTGACTCAAACAATGAGTATCAAACAAGACAAAAAGTAATTAATAATATTTTATATCCAAAGTAAACCCTAATTTTTACTTTAATTTTTTTTATGAAATGTTGTTTTTAGGTTTCTTTACACTCATAAAATTAGTTTTAACAAATTTATGATTTCAAAAATTTATTACTGTAAAATTTTAAATTTTTTAATTTGAATTTTCTTCGTGGTATATTTGCCATCATATGGCAATTATTGTATTCATCAATTTTTATTTTATCTTATTTGAATTTATTGCATTTTATTATTGTTTTATACACCTTCTAAGCTCTTTTCATTTAATTTTTAGCAATTTTTTGATTGACATAACTCCTGCCACCTCTTCCAGGCACTGCTTTTAGATGAAGGCGAAAATGTGCTGATCAGTTAAATAACTTAATTTTTAATTATTATTTTTTCCTTAATTTTTTCTTTTTATGTTCTATCTTACTTTATTATTGTACTTTTCGAAAATAACACTATTATTATTGTGTGGTATTTAGTGACCGTTAATTAATGATTATTTGGAGATCGTGAGATGCGGTCTGGTATGACATAGGTTCAGAAAAACATTTTCTTTATCGTGCCACCGTTTTGTTCACCTACACAGAAACCAAACACTTCGAGCCCTGAAGATGATCTCAATATAGGTCGAAACGTTGGCACGATAAAGAAAATGTTTCTCCAAAACCTACGTCTCACCAGACCGCATCTCACGATCTGCAAATAATCATTATTATTCTTATTTAAATAAGTGGGTTTGGATATGGCAAATCCTGGTAAATGAAAATCTATTACATATCAAAGCTGAAATTTAATAATAATAACTAAAAAACTCTCTCTTTGCAACCAAATTTCTTTCAACAATCCCTCCATGAAAAATAAAGATTATGTAAAAACATAAAATTTTCACTTCTCATCGCCAAATGTAAACTTTAACGTTTGAATTACAACAATATAATAGCTGGCAATTTAACTTTTGCCCTTGAAACATAAAAAAACCTGTATTTTATATTGAAGTACTAAGAATAATTATGTATATATATTTATTGAGGAATAACCCACCTTGAAAAGCGTGATTCCAGCGACAGCGGCTTCCGAGACAGTATCCTTTTTTCCGATGGAACGAGCAGCGATAGAACGGTGAGAGAAAGATGTTTTGAGGGCATCAAGAAGATTCACGACAATGTTGATGAACTGTAAATTTCGTAAAACATAACGAAAATATAGCACGCTCAAAAAACACACATAAAACAATCTAACAACAATCAATGTAAAAGTGCTTATTTACAACCATAGTTTCATATTGTTCCTATCAAAAATTCTAGAATTGATCTAATTTATTTGTAAAAATTTTTAATAATAGGAACGTTTTCTTTGTCTTTAATCTAATAGTCGTACATTTTTGTGAGGTGTATAATAATGACGTCAGTTTTGTCGTACCATCTCATTTTTTGTCGTACCTAGGTTTGTTTTTTATTTTAGCGAATAATTCCATATCTGCGTGGAATTTACCATTTATTTTTCTTAAAATTCTTTAAATTTAACTTTTGAGACCTCATACCTGAGCAGAAATAATGGCCATTATGATAGCAAATCATTAGTTTTTTTGCCCTTACGTTCTAGTAATTTTCCATATTTTAATCTGCTTTAATCTCACTACACGTAGTGTGGCCGTTTTCGATTTATATGTCAGATGTGTTTTGGCATCCTCATCTTCCTGTTCAGCGAGACATCTGAGTAACCAGTAAGACAGACAAAATAGCAACGATAGCCTGATCATATAGCAGTACACGACCAAACTGCAGAACAAGGCAAAACAAAAAGAATCAAAATTTGAATGGACCTGTAGCCTTTGATATGCACTATATATATANGGTGGATGGTCAGGATAGGAATGAGTGGATAGGGCTCGAGCAGTGTGGTAAGGATGGTTCGAAAGGTTGTTATGGACCGGATTAGTTCGTTGACAAAAGGAATATTGAGGTCTATGTGGATAGTGAGGTTAGTGATATAATAAGGTGCTTTGACAAACAGTCTAAGGACTTTCGATTGGAAGGGCTGGATGCGCTGGATATTGGAAGGCTTGGCAGTGCCCCACAGTTCTACTCCGTATGTCCATATTGGTCTTAGTAAAGTCTTGTACAGTGTTAGCTTTGAATTAATTGTCAAACTCGATTTCGGTCTTAAAAGTCTTCGTAGTAGTCCAAGTCTTATATTAAGTTGCTGTTTTTTTAAGTCTTGTGTGGGGAATCCACGTCAGTCTGCTGACGAGATATAGTAGCCTCAGGTATTTGACTTGAGTGGAAACTGGTATCTCTTTGTTGTTGATGTACAATGGAGGGCAAGACTGCCTTTTCAGCGTAAAAGTACACTGAGTGCAATTTTCTTCGTTCAGTCCTCCATTTTTTACACGAGTCTTCGATAAGCTCAAGGTGTTCCTGGATGTTGGAGGTAGCTTGGACAGGATTCGAGTTAGAGGATTGCGGTGTCGTCCGCGTAGGTGGTGGTAATAATTCAGGATGTGTTGGTAGGTCAGCAGTATAAATGATATATAGGACAGTGAAAAAGTAGGAGTTTTGGCAAGTTCTTCTTTTATCTGTACAGCATAAATCTTATATTTGTAAAAGTATAAAAAAATCGTACAACACCTATCAAGCATAAAGTCATCAGATAAAGAGTTTTCAATAACAAAATAAAGATATTAAAGGTTTTGCGTTTGATAACGTATGGCACAATGGACTGCTATTTACGCTTACGAACAGCCTTCTTAATCTATTCTCAAAATCCTATCTTTTCGACAATTGTTTTTTCGTTTGTTTTGCAAGTGCAGTCATTCCAGTTGACGCTGAAGACCCACAAAGTACATACCCCTCATACCCTAGGTATCCTAGGTCCAATCTTCTACTCAACTTACAACTACGATCTTTCTGTCATTTTGATCCTGTCATCTCCGCACGGTAACACAAATTTCCTTGCGAGAAGACAAAGATAAACGCGGTCTAAAGTGAATATTTACTTTTTACTCTTCGATCGCAATAGCTCTCTACATGTGCAACATCTTTTTACGACGATACTGTACGTTTCTTTGGACTATTTCTGGAAACACATGGACTGACTCAGAACCCTCGCACTAGACTAAAAGACTGGAACTGAAGCGACGATACTTCCTTCTCGCCATACATGACCGGCTGTCTAAACTTGTATTGACTAACAAACAACTCATCTACTACACTATAATATAGCCAATGTGGACTTAAGGAGTGAACTTGAAAGGCTCACCTAAACGCTCCTAAAAGATATTCGGAAGATGCAGGAGTTGAGTTTTTTGGGGATCTTGGATTGTTAAAATCTAAGATCTACAAAAAGTAGAAAATCCTTTCTACATATTAAATCTTATCATTCAAAATTCTACCAAAATTATTTTCGTCCATAATCTGGCAAGAACCAGATAACTTAACAACGGAGTAACAATAGTGGGACATCACTAGTGATTTTCTCATATAATAATGTCAGGGTGAACATATTTAATTCTTGTAATTTTATCAGCTGTGCATAAAAAAACTAATTGATTGAAATAAACTATTGCTTAAATGCTTAAGATGACCACCTTTTCTTGGTAAATACAAAAGATTTTATGCTTTGAGAATTTTTTAATAGAAGCTAAAGGCTTATTATTTCCATGTAAACGCATTATTTTAGAGCGATATAAGATGGTCATTCTAAAAGTCATTTATTAAAACAGTCAACAACCAAATAAAGAAGTTAACGTTACTGGCGTAAATGACTTTTTTCTTCAGTGGTGAATTATGATAAGCACTTTTCTTTATATAATTTATATTTAATGCGCAATAAAAGACATGATATATTTCATTATCAAAGTATTAAAAAAAAATTGAGGGTAATATAAGTCGATCAATCTAGCATTAAGTCATCTGACAAGGCTTAGTCAAGTATAGGTTGATAGTTCTTACTAACAGTTCTTACTAAAGTCGTTCCACAATTTCAATTCAAAAATTAAACATCTCATAATGTGTTAAATACAATACAATGTGTAGTGATTAGTGACCGTTAGTCGATGATTTTTCAGAAATCGTGAGATGCGGTCTGGTGTGATGTAGGTTCCAGAAAAACATTTTCTTTATCGTGCCAACGTTTCGATCTTTATTGAGATCATCTTCAGGGCCCAAGGTGTTTGTTTTCTGTGTAATTGTGCCATTCTTGCGTGTCGTGTTGGGCACTCTCACTTAGACACAAGACGTAGTCAATAACAAAAATAAATCGTTACAGTTAATGGCTAAAACAACTTTTTATTAACGATAAGCACCTTTATTTTTCTAATTTATTTTTTAACTGGGCAGTTGATAGATTATAAAAGAAATGTAGGGCAATAAAAGAAGGTTAATCTAGCATAAAGTCATTTAACAAACATAGGCAATAACAAATAAAGTCGTTTCTGTTATTTGCTAAAATAACGTTTTGCTTTATGTTTATTTAAGATAAGCACATTTCTTTTCCTAATATATTTTTGAATGGGTAGTAAAACACTTACGAAACCTCTGATTATCTGAATATAAAAACAAATATTAGAGCAACATTTGTCGTAAAGGTCATTTGACAAAACGTCAATAGTCAATAACAAAATAAAGTTATTGGCAAAAATGCACTTTTGCGTTGATCCTAGAAAAAGCTTTTGAGAAAAATTTAATCTTACAAACACACACTGTTAATGCCGACCTAAAGCAAGTGAATGTCATCAGATTATTACAAATATGATACATAAAATAAAATTTACAGTTAATTTGAACCAGAAGTGGACCATAAAGAATACAAGGAATTAATGTCCATAGTTAAGCGAATGTACAATTTAAAAAGGCAGAAGTGAAACTTAAACAGATAAAGTAATAAGAAAAAAAGAAGAAAATAGTCGTCGTACTTACTTCGCCCGCTTGCTTTGCCATGGTTGCTACTTGGTCTGGATCCCTTGAGCCGAGAAATGCCGAGAGGACAGCCGCTAACACACCCTGTATACCAGCCGTACCAAAAGCTTAGCCAATTATCCAACTACACCCAACATTCGTTTTATACTCATCTTTGGACCATGGCACGATGAGTATACAACGAGTGTCTCCACCTTTTATAACTATAAGCAAGAAGTGCTAAATGCAAGCAGTATTGTACATTGTTTATGTCCGAGTCGTTTCCTAATTAAATAAATTATGATCGCAATGGCAACGAGTTATAAAAATAAAATATGACATCTTTGACATTTGGCAATTTATCAACTCAATACAAATTTGTATTTGATATTTCGTGATTTGAATGATGTTAAACTATTGTTCTGAGTTCCATAATGTATATAAAGCAGGGAAATCAGTGGGAAAAATAAATGACGAGATTTTTTAAATCTGTATTGGTACGTCATTTCTCGTGTGGTTTCTCGTGTTTCATAAACTGGTCTAATTCTGCAAAGTTAAAGGACATTCAAAATTTGCAAAATCATTTTTCCGTTGTAGTCATTTGACATCAAGGTTTCAAAAGTCCACCGAGTGTGAAAATTGTTTAAATTATTTTACAAACTAGAATAAATCAGTAGAGCGTGAAGGTATAATTAATTAAAGAATTTATACGGATTAACGGTTATTATTTATCTTTTTAATAATTACGGAATAATTAAATGAAGAATTAACCGTATTGCGACGGAAAAACATTCAGTACGGTCGAAATACAACTTTTGTACACTTGTATTTTGGGCAAGATAAAAAAGTGAAAACCAAGAAATGCATAAGAAAATACCACTAAAACAGTAAATAAATGACCTATCTATTGAAGATTATTGGCCAAATATTACGAAAATTAATTAGTCAGCAATCTTATAAGCAAAGAAAAACACTGGAATGCTAGCTTTTATTTTGATATAATTAAAAGTGGGGGTCGGTGGCCGCAACGGTTTAGGCGTTGACATGGCGCCCATCCCTGTAAGGTAAAGGTCCCGGGTTCGAATCCAGCGGCCCTACATTCTAACCCTAAGGGTTAATATAACCTCTTCTGTTGCAAACCCTATATATAATTAAAAGACTAGTAGTTTTTGATCATGGCATGGTTATTGGCCATAATACTTTTTAATACAATCTTACTTTTACAATATTTAATGCTAAATGCTATTTTTGAAATTATTTTACAAATTACAATACATCGGTAGAACGTGTAGGTTAAGGTAATTAAAGAACTTATGCGGATTAACGGTCATTACCTTTCTTTCCTTTAATCATTCTGGAATAATTATTTTTATATCTTACAGATACAGCAGTTTTGTAATGAAAAAAAAAATTAAGTGACATGGTATCACAAACTTTTCACAATTCACTATTTTTAGTGGTCCGCTTGACCAATTGATATCTTTCAATTAATTAAGGTTTTTAGTTGGGATAAAAAATTCAGTGTCACGAGTGGGATTCGAACACACGATCTTCGGCTAGATACGCCGCTGCACTACAACTTCAGCTATCGTGATTTCGATCCGCTCGGACACTAACTTCCCATCTCAACCGCACCTTTTGAATTTTCCCTCCTTTTTGCCATTTTTCAAATGTCTTATAATATATTTGATTCTCCGCGACAAATGAAATGGCCACGGAGAGTTTTAGTGAAGGTATACTTCATTTTAAACTTATTCAATTCACTAGTTTTAGTGGTTCGCTTGACCAATTAATGTATTTCAATTAATTAAGGTTTGTAATTGAGATGAATGAAAAATTGCAAAAAGAAGGAAAATTCAAAAGGTGGGGTTGAGATAGGAAGTTAGTGTCCGAGTGGATCGAGGTCACGATAGCTCAAGTGGTAGAGCAGCGGCGTATCTAGACGAAGATCGTGGGTTCGAATCCCGCTCGAGCCATTGACTTTTTTATCTCAACTAAAAGCCTAATTAACTTTTCACAATTGTTTCTTGGCCAAGATAAAAATGTTGAACCGTTTCGGTTTTTCATAATCATTGAAACTTACTAAAGAGTGCGACCGCTTTTAAACTCTTTTGAAATTGGTTCACGACAAGAAAAAGTGAGTGAATATGAAATTAAATTTTTTTGTCTTTTATAGTTTGTTGATTCTCAATGATGATTCTTGTCGACTTAACCCTTCCGTCGTTGTCACATAATTTTAATGTTGAATTTTGTTCATTAAGGTCAGTGATTGAGTTAACTATCAATTGTAGTATATTTACAGAATTAATTATATTCTTTTACTTGCTAGATATTGGATGTGCCTATTCCTTAAAATTATGTGACATTAACAGATAAGAGTAATTACCTATAGATATATATACACTTTAACTGGTATATTAATATGAAAACTAAAACTTTTATCAATAATGTTAATATTCCAGAAGTTAAAAATAAAGTTGAAATAAGAAATGTTTTTACAAAAAAAAGAAGATTTCTGAGCAACATTAGTTGCTGGCTGTTTAGAGAATAGAAGTTTCCGAATCTACTTTATACAATTTGTATATACAGTTTTAGAAATAAAATTTAAAAATACTGTGCATGCACTAAGTTTTTTAGAATTATGCCGAAAGGGACTCACTTGCATGGGTGAAGAATTGTCGACCTTGTCGATTCCATCGCCGCCGACTCCGCCGCCTCCCAAGAAAGCGGAAAGGATCCTCAGGCCGACCGTGAGCAAGTTGGTCCAGGGGGATGCTGGAGCCACGCCCTGAAACATATCTTCATAAAGTTTTGTCCTTTGTGAAAAAAAATTACGAGCCGCTTACAGTGTCGGTGTCGAGACCGTCTGACTTGTTGGGACCGTTATGAGAGCCTATGGGGTTAAATAGCATCTGCATGACCATGGCGATCATGTTGCTCCATGAGAACCCGCCATCCTGAAATTAAAAATCTTTTAACATCAGATTTCTAATTTTCCATGATAACTGATAAGCGTTTTTTTTTAATGTCCGTATTTACAGGAATTTGGTTGGTGTTAAGGTCATCTAAGTCGTTCCTGTCTTCGAGGGCTGCGATCTTCTTGACGGAATTCGGCTTTTCCGCGAATTTTCTCCCCTCCTGACCTTGAAAGCCGCGTTGTGCCTGTTCGCCCTGGATGCCGGGTACGCCTGGGTACGCGATCGCTGGCAGCAAAGAGCTGGTCGCGATTAGGCAGACCAGGCTCAAACTCATTATCTGTCTACTGTTCATCCTCTGTAATGAAAATGAAAAATAAATGAACCCGCGGTGGGAACTGCAAAATGTAAAAACCCGATGTCGGGTGAGAGCCTTGACCTAACAGAATGGAAACGCGGTCTAGAGAACTTTCTCGAAGATATCCTAGATCCTGGTAGACGGCATGACGCATCCCAATTTCTCCTCTTTTACATACCGATGCCTCTGGGTAAACCTTCCAAATATCCTCCCATTTATTGCATAATATACAAAAAATTTAAAATTGTATTTGGTTATCAAAAACCTTTAATGAAACTTTTTTATTACATTTATTTGATATTTACAACTAAAAATATTGTATTAAGTAAATATGTTATATATGTTAAATTTGCTATTTGAGTCTCTTATAGGAGAAGTTTCCCAGCGGCAACACTCCCTCACACAGAAACCTTTTCAATTTTCACTCAATGAGAAGTCTCGAGAGTTGGGAGTTTTCGGATAGGGTTGGTTGTCGTACTAATATTGTCGGGTGTGTTCATGAAATTTTTTACAGTGGGTTTTGATGAGTTCATGTACACTAAAAGTGTAATTTGAAACGTAAAAAGGAGCATTTATAATTTGGCAGAGAATTTTAGATTGGATTCATTGTAGACGTTGGGAATTGGAATATTTGGTTGAGCCCCACACTTCACAACGTACACCCAGAAAGGTCTAATCGTTGTATTGTAAATTAAAAGTTTGTTTTCAATGTTTAATTTTGATCGGGATTCAAGTAGTGTTTTTAACGATTTATAACGTCGTTTTGTTTGCTGTCTTTTCAGTCTTGTCTGGGGATTCTAAGTCAGTCGTGTATCCGTGAAACATCCACGATAACGAACAAGGTCAGTGATAGGCAATGGGATTCCATTTATACTCACTGCAGGTCAGATATTTTTACACAAGGTAAAATTTATCAGTACGCTGCTCATTCAGGTATTGTTTTAAGTGTTGAGGTTAATTGAGGTTTCCGAATTAATTAAAATATACAAAATTTAGCTAAAAATAAAACCTGATGGATAAAATATTAAATCAACCACTTTCTACAGAATTAATTTTAAACAACATAACCACACACGTTTTGCGTAGTTTCTACAATAAATTTACTCCCACAATAACAATAAAAACAACTACAAAGGAACAAAACAATGATCTCATATCGTTAAGACGATTTTCATGTCAGATGACCATCTGGCTTGCTTTTCAAGAAAAAGTGGCACAAGAACCACAATAACGCGTTGTCCAATCTGAAAAGCGATGTTGGCCCAGTTCCCCACCTTTGTTCCCCAAAGCCTCATTATATTCTATAAGCCTGAAAAGTTTGAAGACTTTATAACAATTGAGAGTGTAGTAAGTTGACCTGAAATCAACTTTGATGAAACTCCGATAACTCGAAATATTTTTTTTTCAGATTGTGCGTTCAAAAACGTAATGTATTCACCGATGAGAATCCTTCTCGCACTGGTCTTAATTGGGCATGTTTGATGTTTCTGTATCAGAGCAGAACATGACCTTGAATCACAACCGTGACCATTGGAAATGGCTCGATCATCGTCATGATTTATGAGGTAAAATACAACTTTCTTTTCTTTCCCCAACCCTTAGAGTGTTTTCACCTTTTAACACATCGAAAAAAGTTAACAAGTATATGAAAGCAAGTATTGCTCTAATAATTCTACACTTATAATAGTCAATCGACTTTTTCGGAGTAATGCTTTCTTAATTTTAAGCAAGAATTGTTAAATTGGTGTTATTTTTTAATTGGTTTTACGCGAGTCAACGTTAATTTACTGGTGTGATGATTATGTGAATTATAAATAATTTTAATTAATTTGAAACTTCTTCACTAATCATAATCCTCATGTAAAAAACATATTTTTATTAAAAATACGTTCCATTCCATATATTTAAAACATTACTTTAATGCTCTGATAATGAAACGATGAGGGATGTAACAGAATTTCATTAAAACATTCTTCATTTTGTAAATATTATGTTAAACCAAACATTTTTCTTAAACGATAAAAGGAAAATGATGTTCAGGTCATTTCTCTATAGACATCATCAGTATAGTCTGAGAGTGCATGGCCCATGACTACACGTGTTTGTATCATCAAATTACAAGACCTTTCTCAAAACGTTTTTTGGGAAATGCCTTAGAAAATATCATGAAAATATTAGATAATTGATGTGTATAATTGACGATTAAACGTACAATTTTATGAAAACTTATGTCAATACATCTTTCATCTGGGTTGTTATTAAATAAGTATAAACTTTGTGGTGCCGGCTTTTATTTTCGTATAACTTAAAAGACTATTTTAGCAGTTTTTGGTCCTTTGCATGCTGATTGGCCAATTTTTTTATTATGGCCGTTTTAGCTTAGTTTTAGGATGTTGATATGTGGGATTTGATACAGATATTTGACGAAATGGTTGAATTTTTAAAAATTTTTGCTGTTGACACGTTCTCTATTATTTTGCAAGATTCAGAAACATGGGTTCACGGCCGGGTTTAGCGGCAGCTTTCACTCTCATATCTTGGAAATCGAAATTATCGCCGGCCAAATCGAAAGCTGATCAAGTTCTGTCTCGGTCGTTATTACATTTCAAGTTTGGAATTTCCTCTTCTTAAAGGGCGAAATTTAACTATAAAAAAATCGATACTTGCAGTTCCCAGCGTCTGGCAGGACGTGATGGCCGGTGGTCGTTGTCCAAAAGAAAGAGACCACAGGGAGAAAAACAAAAATGAGGCCAATGTTATTAGAGGGCGGGAGGTGAACGACCCAACCTAGACCTTCTATGGTACCTCGCAATCCCGTTACCTCCACTCGGTCATGAAAGTATCACGTATGACTAACGATCAGCTCATTTACAAATAAGAATTTGGATTAACCTTTTGATATAAAGTAAGAACAATTTTAGCCGATTACAACTCCTCTACTCAATATTAAACCTTAGAGCACAATAAATACGTATTACAAATAAATAATATATAATATATTTATTTTATGTTAAAAATATATTATTATATTTTATATATATTAATGCCCTCTGTTGGTTGATGAACATCAGTTGATTTTATCCGATCATCCTGGTCTGCTAAGTCACAATGGTCTATGAACAAGTCACTAAGATAAGGATTGAGGAAACATCATACAGACCAACCACTGAAGATGACAAAATGTCAAAACGCGACTTACAAACCAAAGCAGTGATCACGATGATCTGAAGTCCAAACTACATATTTTTTCACCTCACACTTTTATGTGTGGTGTTTAATGACCGTTAATTAATGATTATTTGGAGATCGTGAGATGCGGTCTGGTGTGTCGTAGGTTTTAGAAAAACGTTTTCTTTATAGTGTCATTTTCTTTTTTCACATAAGTACATGTACTTGTAAAATTTAAACAATATTTATAAATCCCAGGCTCTGAAGATGATCTCGATAAAGATCGAAACGTTGGCGCGATAAAGAAAATGTTTTTAAAAAACCTACGTCACACCAGATCGCATCTCAAGATCTCCAAATAATCGAACTTTTATTATAAGCAAAATGTCGTCTTTCATCCTTTCTGTGAGTTTTTCCCCGAGTTTTTCGTTTTTTCCAGTTTACTACAGCTTTATGAACTTTGGGGTCTGTGGGTTTTTAAATTTTATTTTGTTATTAAACGCTATGTAGTACAAGGTAATATTTAATTCAATTAATTAAGGTTTTTTAATGGAGATAAAAAAGTCAGTGTCACGAGCGGGATTCGAACCCTCGATGTTCGGCTAGATACGCTGAGGTTGAGATGGGAAGTTAGTGTCCGAGCGGATCGAAGTCACGATAGCTCAAGTGGTAGAGCAGCAGCGAAGTTCGAATCCCGCTCGACACTGACTTTTTTATCTCGACTGAAAAACCTTAATTAATTGAAATATATTCAATGGTCAAGCGGACCACGAAACTAGTGAATGTCATATTGAATAAATTGTCAAATTGGCTTTATAAAAATTATGGTTTAGTGAGGGCAAATAAAATTAACATTTTAGAACAATACATTAATAATACATAATTTTGTGCCTCTTGAGGACTAAATTGCTATGGCTGTTCGGTTTATGAAAAGAAAAAAAATACATATATATTTTCCTACTTATATGTTATTTAAGACATTTATTGATAATTTATTAAATTGTGATTGATATGTCTTATTACATGTAGTTACGTGGATTTTTGGGATTGCATTAACTGTATAGGTCATTTGTATTTATTTGGGATATAACTGGCCCTTTCTAATGCGGTTAATGTTGTGGATTTCTTACAGATATGCTGTTACTAATCACTTTTGAGTTTCACTCGGATTCTCTTTCACCTTTCTACCCTAACTGCTCGACATCCGATCGTTTCGTCTCGAGCCGCTGCTCTCTTCTTCCGTTTTGACAATATTACACTTTTTCTTTTTTTTTTAAACCGTCGGTCGGATTTCCACGGTACCGTAAAGGCGGTACGCGAATTGTGAAAGGTAAACCCAAGAGTGGAAGTCGGTGTATTAATAAATTCCATTTGACCTAGTCGTAGAGGGAAAGCTGGAATTCCGAGAGGTGCTCGCTCCTAAAAGGCTGAGTAGGCCAAGAATGTCCCAGGATAACGGTTCACCCCCAATCACCTTCATTGCGTGTTTTAGTGAAGAAAAGAGAAAAAACAGCATCCTTTTTCCCGAGTTTATAAACCATGAGATGGCTGGAAAAACGAAAGGGTCCTCTGTCCTCTCACCGAAGACTTTCTTCGCTTTCTTCTACTCTAATCAACATTCAGACACATTCATCCCTCTACAATTTAAAACTTATACTTAATTATTAAAAATAAATAAAAATAAAAAGTACATATTATTTATCTTATTCAGTAGTTCTGCAACTTCGACTTTCTTATAAGACTCTTTTTATAAAAGAAAGACCAAGTTTACTTTAAAAAAAATTGTCTTAAAATCTGCAACTACATAAAAAAATTAATATATCAATAAAATAAATATTAAAACTTACTTCTCTGATCTATCGAGTATCGTAGTGTACTATCACAAACACAGCGGATGGCACTAGAGTGGTTTGGGCTCGGCCCTCCCATTCCCTTTATATACCATGACCTACTTCACCACCCCTTCTCGAAGTCTTCTACCTCTCCGCTGCCGGCGAAACCCCCAACCCATTATCTCAAACAATTTTTTTGTCCACCAGTTTTGAAAGTGATTCCTGAGCAAGGGGAAGCTTCGATCGTGTTGCATCAGCTTTTTCGTTCGATTGTCTTTTTTCTACGGGCTAAAAGGTTTTCTGGGATGGTTAGGCTCCGGCTCCTCGAAGATAACCTACACGTGTTAAATCTCAATTAAATTTAAAAAAACAAACAAATATCCCTCGTAAAGTTTTTTGACCAGACTTTCGATGAAATTCCAAAACCGACTTGACGTCTGGCAGAATTAGAAAGTCGAATGATTCGTTGAACTGTAGATTGTCTGGAAAGATTACAAATAAAGCTGAAGGAAGGCGAACACTTGAATGTGTTTTGAAAAGTGCAGTACTTAAAAAACGTTAAAAACTTATTATTGTTGAATTTTATATTATATAAACCATGTTGAAGGCACAGTAGTACCAAATTAATAGTGCGTAGAGTCCTGAGAGGTGACAAACCTTGATGATCTTTCGATCATACACGTGCACTTATTTTGCTTGTTTGCGTTTCAGATCTATTCGGCCCACCAACCCTATAGTCCTGACCAATCTCCTTCAGACTACATAAACTAACAACTGAAGATGCTGAAAAATCGAAACGTCCGACAGAAAAAATCAGCGACAACAGACCATGACTGTCAACACAGTATTTAAGAAGACAGGCTTTTACATGCAAAACAGATACAGTTTCTTGACTACAAAATCATCAACAAACTTAATTACAATCATAAAAATGTTCTGGACTAAAAATGAGAAGCCTTGAAGGTCAAACTGCAAACAATTGCTAAATATTTCTTTTTAGCAGATAGTACCTTGATTGACGTGACTGTATTTCTAAAAATTAAACACTTTAGTGACCTTATAATTTATTTTGAAATATAAATAAATCACAAATAAGAATAAGAATAAATAAATAGCAGACAGCAAGAAATCTGAGGCGCCTTCTCTACGGCATTAAAGTCTCCCAACTAATTTTCAATATGTCGAAGGCAAAGTGTCTTTTACATACACAATATAAGTATAACAATTTCTTTATTGTTGTTATATTGATTGTGTTATCAAGTTATATAACTTTTTTCAATAGTTTGAATAACTGAATGTGCCCTGGGTCATCCAAAGAACTCAAAAATCCGCTTTCTTTTGCCACCAACCTTTTCTCACTTGTTTTATTCTCGACCCAGATATGGTTTCTATTTTGGTCTGTTTTCTGCTATATTCTTGCCAAGTGACTGTTTTCGACTGTGTTGTGTCCGTAGGTTTGTTTTTTATTTTCATCTTTTTTTAAAGGAAGCTTCTAGATGAAAACAGTCGAGGACCGAATCCGTTTTATCTCAAGTCAACTAACAAAGGCCACGTCAACAGCGAGTCAACCTGCGCGACGTCTATCAGCCAACCAAGCGACTCGAATGTCTCCCAAGGCTTGTCGGTGTAGCAAAAATAAATTATATTATGCAGATATGTTTGATAAAACACAATAGTTTTGTAAGGAAAACGTTATTTATTGGTTATGTTATAGTAATTATAATAGTCTCCCCAGGGTCGTCGGAGAGGCTCTTGCGAGTCTAGAGCAGGACCGGTAGATGGCCCTCAGAGAACCTGAGCAGGAGGCGAGGTATCACCCGACTGAGGATTGGCCATACGCGGTTGACACACGGGCACCTGCTTTGGGACCAAAGCCCGCGCAGATGACCCTTATGCAGAGAAAGGTTGCTCGCTGTGTCCCATATAATAGAGGCGTGTCATGCCTTGGCTCCATACAGAGAGCGTGTAGGCATACCGCCGACGGAGTTCTCGAGCACGGTAGCGAGTTTCAGAGATCCCTGTTCCGCTTTTTAGGGGAAATTTTTTTTTTTTTTTGTGTATGTTATGTGTTTTGTGTTTTGTGTCTATATGATTTGTCTGAGTGCATGTATTTATTAGCGTGAATGGCGAGGGGTGAGGGTGAAATATAACGTCATCATCGCCCCTCGAACGTAAAGAGCGTAAGAGTGTGTGTTCGGGATCGATGGCCGAATTTTTATAAAAGTCTCCATCGACCCCCATCTAGATTAATTATAGGTCGGTGGAGGAATATCAAGTACTCCACCGATCAAACGGAATGAGTGTACTGTAAGGATGTATTTATGTGTATGAATGTATTTATTTGCATGAATGTAGTGTTTGAAAGGGTAAATAGAAATAGACTTAGTTGGGGGCTGAAATGACCTAGATGTCGGAAGCCCCAGTCAAAAAAGAAAAAAAATAGTCTCCCTACCCAAGAAGATCTAGAATTGATTAAAAACATACATCTCTTTCTAAATGCTCAGTTGATATCTTCGCTTAGGGCTGAAGATCTGTTGGCGGAATTTATAAAAGGGACACAAATAACTAAAATTACACTCAGACGAACCACTAAAAATGACCAGGATGATTGGAGACGAAGAAATGATTAAAGTTTGATAACATGTGATAAAGTTCATAGAAAGAGTTTTTGTCTCTTTTTATTTTCAAATCATTTAGGGAATAGTTTTTCACAATTTTGTAGAATGTTGCTGCAAAAATACTTGTATTATAACTTATATATGACGCAGTTTGTGGATTTTTTTGAATCAATGAACTCGTAGGACAAATTATTGTACTGTACAATGCTCGATGTAGTTTTTGCTTCTTCCATTGACATAAATTTTTAAAATAATAGATCCTCTGCTATTAATGCTTCTCTCTAGACGTCGCAACCCCTTTCCAGTGTGTAGTCTAGTCGCTTGCTCCTTGCCGGATGATCTGAAAAGATCAAATTACACTATATAATGACAGATTTCTTGTTGAGATCTGCGAGCTAATGATATGTAGTTTGGTCCCCTTTAATTATCATGCTCTTCCTATCCTAGTTGCTTTTGTCTGTCAGATGCGTTTCCAATTTAGCCATCCCCAATGTATAGTAGAGATATTGCTCCTTCGGAATACACAGCATAGGCAGACCAGGATAATCTGAAAAGACTAAACTACATTATATAAGGAGAGATTTCATTTGAGATCTGGGAAGTAGTGAACGTGTAGTTTGATCTCTTTCGATCACATGTTCATCTTATCCTCATTGTTTTTGCCTGTCAGACGTGTTTCAACTTTTAGACGTCGAAATAGTATATTCCAGCTCTTGCTCCTTCAGAGTTCATAGTCTTAGTCAGGAAAGACTAAACTACATTTAACGCAGGACAGTTTGTGGCAATAAAAGGATATATTGCGTCAAAACGTTTATTATTCACTAATATTTCACTAATATCCCACCTTTTTATCCTTGCCCAAGACACCCGGCATGACGGGCCAACTTCTTTCGGCAACGCTGTAGTACGCTTCGGCTTTTCTAAAAAATTTTATTGGTTACAGTTACCAAAATACTTACCTATCATTTTTAGTCATGTTTTTATTATAAGATTTAATTTGTACATTACTCAGTTTTTAACGTTTTACATGGTAACACATTTTGGCTCCGTCCATTGACACTATCAGCGTTTATTTTTTCAAATAATGGATCTTCTTATGTAGCTGTTACATTAATTTGTATTAAGAAAGGGTAGTTGAACAATAAAAGTACATTTTAATAATCGTTTGTCTATATGTTTTGTCTGAGTGCATGTATTTATTAGCGTGAATGGCGAGAGGTGAGGGTGAACGTCATCATCGCCCCTGGAACATTGAGAGCATAAGAGTGTGTGTTCGGGGTCGATGGCGGAATATATATAAAAGTACTCCATCGACCCTAGATTAGTTTGAGTATAGGTCGGTGAAGGAATATCAAGTACTCCACCGACCAAACGGAACGAGTGTACTGTGTGGATGTATTTATGTATATGAATGAATTTATTGGTATGAATGTAGTGTTTGAAAGGGTAAATAGAATATAGACGTAGTTGGGAGCTGAAATGACCTAGATGCCGGAAGCCCAGTTTAAAAAAAAGTCAAATTTCTTGTTGAAGTCTCAGGTTGATCGTTTTCGATCTTACTGGTTTTTGTTTCAATCAATAGCGTTTCGGAATTTTGCCATTTTTGTTAATTAGTCTGTAGGAAAAAGCTGAGTAAACATCGAGACGAATCGCTAAAGATGACCAAGAGGCGAAAAAACAAAACCTTCACTTATTGGTGAGATGAAATTTTCGACAATACTTTACTTTATGAAACACTACACATTATTTGATTAACAACTCGGTATATTATTATTGTTTAACTAATAAAGCGAAATCTTCTGCATGAAAATTTCTTACATACAGACATGGAATGAAATTGTTGTTGCTTTGGCCAAAAATAGCTACAATTTGGAATTATTGTTCGAGAAAAGCGTTGCAGTGCAGGAAAAGATATATTAGAAAGGCCTTAGATCACAAATAAAGAATATTATCTACCGGTTTGTCTTTTTAAAAAGAGGACCGGCCTGTTTAGATCCCACCTACTCACCTAATTATTCGGTCGAGAAACAAACGGTTTGCCCTGTTTATGTTTTGGACTCATTTCTACAGTTTGAAAAGCGTTTATTTTTAGCACAAATTTAGAACTGATCAATTGACAACAGTTTGACCCTAATTGGGGAAAAGCTCATTATTCACGAGCTAGGAAGGATCTTGTGTATGTGTGACGACCGTTATAGACGCAGGTGACCTTGGTCGTCTCTATTCGACCCTAACCTAGAATGTTTTTTCGTCTTCTCCAACGCTCGTTTTTCATTGATTTTCACAAAGCTAAAATTTTAAATCGTAAGAAAACCCTTCGTCGCTCACCGCTGGCGTTTACACGGCTTAATCGCACCGACATGTGTTAAGAAGCTCCCCGAGGAAATTACGGTATTTTTGCAGCACCTGCTCGGATAATAGCCACCTAAATGGGCGTTCCGGGTTTTTATGACGGTTCTCGCGGTGAGGC